TTAGTTTTTTTTTAGTAAGTTTTTAGTTTTTTTCTTCTTCTGGTTCTTTTTCCAAATTTCTACATTTATTGAAATTAATAACATTGAAATTTATGTTGTATTGTTCATTAACATTTGTATCAGGTCCTAGTCAGGCACGAACTTGCTAACTGTTTTTTTGTAAGAGATAAAATTTGTATTTTAGTTATTTGAAAGTTTTATTTTGGATTTCTGTTGTTATTTTTTCAATAAATTGTTTGTTAGTTTTTATCCTGATTGTAGTAGCATTTTGTTTTAATCTGTTGCAACACAATGAGAAAATAAAAGCTAAAAGATTTAGCAATAACAGGAAGAAGTGAAGGGAAATAAGATAGAGGTAGGCCAAGACCACCATCAGTAGTCTCAACAAATGGATGAGCATGAGTGAAGCAGAAATGATGAAAACAACAAAGGATAAGAATCTGTAGAAGTCATGATCACTAACATTCTGGCCAGATATTGTATTTAGAGAGAGAGAGAATATAAACTGAAGCTCATTAGGATGAAAGAAGGAGTTTAAGATGTTAAGTTTTCTATACAGTAATTATAAACACAACTTATTTCTTTATGCACTTCAGTAATATGTTAGCTTTATAGATGATTAACTAGGTTTAAAGTTTGTTTTTTTATCTTTGGATACATTTAGTTATACTTTTAGCTTCTAGATAATTTTTGTTAATCATTATTTAACAAGCTTGTAACTAACCTCTTTTAAATCCATATCAACTTCCATTTCTATACCTACAGTTTAATTCAAGATTCCAGTGTGCATTTTTACATTTAATTACTTATGCAATAATACAATTAAAATATATGACCAGCTTATCAATACATTGTAGAGTTCATAGAAAATCAAAACTGTTAGTTGCCAATTACAATACGAAAGAAAGTTATGACTTTTAATTGATAACATAGGCTTGTGATGGTTTTATTGTCTTGAAATTTTTACATGTTCTACGCTAAATCCTGCATGCTGAATCCGAAAATGATATCCATTTTTCTGCATCACATACAGGTTTTTCACAAAACGTCATAATGCAATGCATAAAATAAAGATCACAACATGTAGTTTGAAACTAAAAGATGTAGATATCACACAAAAAAAAATCAGTATGAATGAGAATTGCTATTTGTTTGACATCAGTGTTCTTCCCCTTTCTTCAATTTGTTTGTATTTTTGTTAACAAACCTAATAATAAAACATGTTCATTGTGATAAACGAAATAATAATTTTATCTTAGTAAGTTTTTCTTCCCAATTTGTAAAAAAAATCCTTACGTGATAGAAAAAAAATGAATATTTTTTTTTGAAATCTGTGTGGCTGAAATATGGAAAATCTGTTATTAAAACCAAAACAACTTTTATAAAGTTTGAATTTGCAGACCTGTGTAATTTGATTTGATCACTACAGGTTGCTATGGGTATGTATAGCAATTATGTTTTAGTGAAACCTTCTCATTAAAAACACAGAATGCTTTGTACTTTGATACAAACACAATGAATGTTAGAGCATTTTAAGTAAGCAATAATTTTAGAGTTTCAACCACAAACTTATACTGAAGCTACATACCTTCTTGAGCATATCTGAAGAAGAGTCTGCTCGAATTCCCACGTCTAGCAAACAATTCTTCAAAAGAGTAATGCTATCTTGACTAAGTGCTTCAATTTGCTTTTCTAGTTTGGATGCTCTTGAGCTCAAATTAGTTTTTCGTAGCTATGAGAATAATTAATGGTGCTGTAAGCCTGGATTTTATAACACTGACACATGTTCCAATTTTAGAAACATTAATTCATTGTGGTTGTAAATGCTAAGTGAGAGTTCAATATGACTTTTTCAAAACTGGTCTTACTTATATTAATATAGATATATATTTGTTGTTGGAAATTAATGGTGGAAGACATTAGTTATGTTTTTCTCATCCACTCCCTCTTTTTCCCTCAGATAACATTTGATTTTCCTATTATCAAACAAAATTACTTCTAAACATAAAATATGAAAAAACTAAAGGATTGAAAAATCCAGGAAACAAAAATAATGTCTAGATTTAAGTTGAATAATAATTTATAAAGAGACCTAAAAACTCCAGACATTTAAATGAATCTGAAAATAATTATTTGATTTCATTACAATCTCTACAAAGAGCAATACAAAGAAACAAAGAGACAGAGAGCTTATCATTTTATAAATTCCTAATCTAATAAACGTTTTGATAATAAACAGAAGATATTTTGAGGTCTGAAGCTCTTAATATATTTAGTAAGAAGTTGATACAAAGATGTTAGTTCTTGAAATCCCTATAGTTTCCATACCTTTTCTTTCTCAATTTTATTTTTCAGATCTTCTTTGTACTGAGAGGTTTTCATTTTTTGCAAGAAGTACAAAAACTGACTCTTGTAATTGTCAAGTAGTTCTTGCAGAGTAGAAGGGTTTTCCAAAGAAGAAAAAGAAATGGTGGAGTTAGCTGAATTCATAACCACATTATCTAACTTCTGGTCAATACAACCAGGAGCAGGTTCAGACCGTTCACCTATTTAATGTTAAAAAGAATGATTTCTTCATAAACAATCTGAACAAATAAACAAATATATGCTTTTAGAAACTGTAAAACCATAATAAAAGGTTAATACAATTTCATGTTTAATTTTTTGCTTTAATTTAGTTAAAGTTTATCATGCGAATATTTATATGCTTACAAGACATGTAAAACTTAAAGTTAAGTTTATAAAACCTGAGAAAGATGAAAGTGAATTTTGGTCAAAGGCTTTTTAGTTCTTATTGTAAGACATGAGACTAAAATTCTTTATTAAAAAACTGATAAAGATACTTTAACAAAAAAAAAAGATTACTGTATTTTGACTACTGAAAAAAATTACTGTAGAAAAAAGTATGGTTGTCAAGCATTTTTTGAAGTTACATACATTAACTCTAAGTACCAAAAATATAAACAAACAAATACAGCTACGACATAGTAAATTTTGGAAATACAAAACTGATTGAACTTGCTGTAAGGAAAAGGGAAATGTGCGGTCAGTGATTTAACCAAATGATCTGAACAGACTCGATAAAGAATATTTCACTGAAACAATGACCATATATTTCCATTTTCCTTCTAAGAAATACTAACAATTCTCCATGATTCCAAAAATAATAAAGCTTGTTTGTGGTTTACTAATTCTAAAACACAATATCAAAAAACGTTTCTGAAACATTAAAGGTATTTCAACATTTTCAAGTTATTTTTTAACCAATTGTGCTTGAATCTCATACTTTAACTACTTACTTACAGCAAAACTCTGATGCTTAAACTTTCACAATGAATCTAAACCAAGTTTCCTGAAAGGTACTAAGAGCTTTCAGCCATTACAATCTTTCAGGAACTAATCAGTTCATGCAAGACAAGATCAAGAAATAACTATCATACCTTTACTTGAAGTACTCAGAACAGTTTGTGTGTGAAGAAGATCTAGTCCACTGAAATTTAGAGTTTTGTGAGGTTTGGTCTTAATTGTGCCTTTCTTAGGTCGCCCAGGCTTTTTCTTTATTTCTTTTATCTTCACTAGCCTCTGTTGCTTTTGCTTGTCTAAAGGTCTTTCTACAGGTCTTTTAAGTGGTTCTGTAGGATAAGAACATGGTATGAGCAATGCTGTGGTATGGAAACCCTTATGACATAATCAGAAACATATGCAGAATTGTTATTATAGTTTCTTCACAGTTCTTTTGAAGAAAGCAAGTTTTTTACAGAAACAAGTTTAAATTGCATTGTTCTTTACTTCAAGATGACACTAATATCTTCATATTTTGTAAAATAAATCTTATAGGATAAACATAACAGAGTATATATATATTATTCAATTAAATTCACAATAAAACTTGATTACCTTAAATACATTTGTACAATTTGACTTCCTTCTATCATATAAGAACTACATTAGTCCTAAAAGAAATCAAGAAAATCCTAGCTAACACAGAACATAAACCAGTCATTTACACAGCAAAAAACACGGTTAGGTTACACATCTTATTCACATAAAGTATAGGGAGGGAAATAACTACATTTACACAGTAGACAAAACAGCCATATTTGAATCAAAATGTTTGGGAAGACTAGCCTTATTTACATAAAACATGTATAAATTGATAAAAGATACCATGACAGGAAATATGTGATATACCTATGATTACAAAGAAACTTCACTAATGCAAATCAAAATCAATATGAAAAGCTAAAAGTTTGAATTTCATATTGAATTAAAAATAATAATTCAGGACATTATACTAAACTATCATACTTCACTGACAGAACTTTAAAAACACACCAGTTCATATTGCTTTAAACAGTGTAACTAATTATCACAAACTGATAGCACATAGGGAGTTATAACTAAAAATTTTGCCAGCTTATTTCAACAAATGAGTCAATATACTCTAATAATGAATGCAAGCATATAAAATAAAAACTCTGAATTACTAGCCTATTCTGTTAAAATTTCAAATGTTTAATATCACCTGAAAAGGAATAACAAACAGAAATTCATAGCTAAAGTATGATGTACATACAAAAGGCACAAGACATTCTCTTGATCTGTTGTGACCAGAGGATTAAAACATGTTATACAATTCAAACTGAGCTAGTGTGGTCTAGTGATTTGTGTGCAGAGACAGTGAATTCCAAAAATTATGGGGTGCAATCCCCTGGCACAAAATACGCTCCATACTTTGGGGCCATGAGTGCACTATAAGAGTGTTAATTAAATCCCAATATTTGTTCAGACATGAATCAAGCAAATGTTAGTAGTGGTTGCTGTGGATGTGATGCCCTCCCTCTAATGTATAAGTTCAAAATTAGTGATAGCTATATGCACAGCTTAATATGGAAATGAAAATACCATTTTCTTCATTGCTCTCTTGTCCACTGGTATTGATAATTATTGACTTGTTCTGGCTGTTACACCATGCTGACCAGGCTTTTCTTGTGGTTGGTCCAAAAATGACTGTATCATCCTTGTTTAGATCTTTAGAATCATTAGATGAAGAGTCCATCAGGAAGTGGTTAGGGGCAGTGATTTTACATTTCCTGGCACGAGAGTTTCCCACTTCCTCATCCTATGAAAGATACATCCTCTACATCATACCATTACACTTCTACCAGTTTATTTGTGTAATTTAAATAGCTCATGAAACTAATTAGGTAATTTTGTTTTAAAAAGGTTTAACAGCAGGTGCATTTGACAACCCATTAACATGTAGCATGAACATGACAAAAAATAAAAATATAAAGTGATTTTTACATTCATATGTAAAACAAACATTTAAAACATAAATACCCAAGTTTATAATTTTAAAATGTTATAAAGGCATTCTTCTGAAGAGTACTTACGAAATAAAATATTTTTTTTGCAATAATGCCTTAAGTTCTTACCCTGAGTTTTGGATTCTTCAATCTCTGGAAATAGTGTTCTAGCTATGAAGAGAACAATTTCCTTTTATCATTTTTAAAATGAGTAACTTTCCTATTACTCTGTGAAAAATTAAAGGAAAATTTTTAATTTTAAAACAAATACTAACTTTTTTTGATGGTCTGGGATTTCTACTTCATTACTACAAAAATCTTGATTGCCCACTTTTAATTTTTTCAAAATGAGATGCAAGTTAAACATCTCAATACCATTAGTTTTCTTTTAGTTAAGCATTTAAATCGTATAGTAGGACTGAAATCATACGTAATGTTACAAAAATAAATTATTTACAATGCTTAAATCTATTAATAAAAACTTCTCTCAAGGCACAAAATGATATCTTTAAACTTTAGAGATAATAATAATTCAATACAAACTTGCATAGATAACTATAGTAAAACAAATAAAAATGATAGTCAATACATATTTACAGAATATCAGTTAAACTTGTTTTCTTATTGCATATTTTAACATGCTCTTTACTTGCTTTTATATGAGCATTGTTTTATAAATACAGAGGGTTAAATATGATATCTGCTTTTAAGAAACAAGTATGGCTGACACTAACTACCCTCCATTTCAACCATTACCTCAAATCTTTGTGTGTCTTACTTTCAAGACACTGAAGAAGATCTATTACAAATCAACAGTTACATCTAGATTTTGTTCAAAATCCCCACATATGAAATCAAAGACTGTCATCATTTTTATTAAGATGGATGACCAAAGCAATATTTGTCTAAGCAGCCACTTAAAACAAACATTAAATGTTTTCTCAACTTGAAACACCAAAATGATAATTTATTCAGATTAATTTGGATTGGCTATGAAGCATCTTGTGAACCTTTACTTTGAAAGACACCTTTAGGTCATACTTTAACATCTTATGTGTGAATTCTATCCCAACTAGATGGGTACTTTAATAGTAGATTTTGATTTTTGGTTAACATATAATTTATTTGTTCACAGGGAACAGTTTCTTTAATAGGGTTTGTTTGTAGTTAAGCACAAAGCTACACAATGGGCTATCTGTACTCAGCCCACCACGGGTATCAAAACCAGGTTTCTAGCGTTGTAAGTCTGCAGACATGCCGCTATTCTTTAATAGGGAAATAACCAACAGGGATAATAATGCAAAAATTGAGTTTTTCATGTGGTGATGAAGGAATGGTGAATAGTTCTTTCACAACTAACACTGACTATATTTTATATTTAAACATAAAACAATGACATTGATATTTGGCTTTGATTTATTGTATTAATTGGAAATACTGCTTTCTAATTCATCACTTTTTGTTTTATAATTTTGTACATGATGCAGTTTTATTCCAGAACTAAATAACCAAAATATAAATGAGCTTCAAAATTAGCTACAACTCTTGCTATAAATTGAGGTGAAAACAAGATCTTGTGAATCTAGTTTGTATCATCATCAAATTTTCTGCACAGTAACAGCATGCCATGCTTCAATTCAATAATCACCTTAGTCCGATCTATTGTGTGTAAAAAGTATGACACGGGTTTCCCAGTCCATGACACTGAACCTTTTATGGGGGTAATTTCTTTCACATGCATGATGGTTCCAATATCTGAAAGCAAGAAATCTATTTTCACCTTCGAGTACAATGTGACAGTAAAACATTTCACCATTAACATAACATTAACTGATGCTTCACTTGCATATAGAAAAAAAATATATACTTTTTTCAGGAGCAATAATAGTTGCACAAAATCACTTCATTGAGTGAACTTCTTTCAAAATTATTTCTCAAAACAGTATACATATGAGTGAACTTATCATTATCTCACATTTCAATGTCAATATAAGAGCATTGCAAAATAAAGTACAAAAAATTGCTTTAGATTGAAACACACACATAGATTATCTCTCTCTCTATATATATAATGCCAAAAATGAATGTGATAGTTTTATTTAATCCACAAAAAAATTCCCTCTTACTACATACCACTCATAGTTCTGTCTGTAATACGAAAATTGAGATGACAAAATGCTTTTGATGACACAATCCTAGCACCATCTCTCAAGTCAGCAAACCTTTCTTTCAACTGCAAGAACAAGGTATATATGCTTTTTTAAAGATAATGAAATGAAAATTATTTGAATTAAAACAGATTCATTTTAAAACAGAAGTAATATTGAAACTGCATACTACAAATGAAGTGATGGAAAGTAGAAAAAGAACTGGATAACAATAATTTTGAGGACTATAAAACAACTCTGCATCAAAATATGCATCTTAACTAATTTATTAATTTCACTGTTAACTTCTTTCAATACTTTCAAAGTAGCATAGTTTATCAATGTTATTACATTTTCAAATTAGCATAGTTTATCAATGTTATTACATGTGATGATACATTTCCGGATGTATTAACCCATTCACTGTGTCTGCAATGAAAGTGGTAATGTTGACAAAATAAAGAACAACACTTAAAAGAATAAAGAAATCATTTGTATTATTGTTAAAAAGATAGAGAAAACAAAACATATTTCGACACAAGTCTAACTATTGATTTAGAAGAAATAAGTACAAAAACAATATATTTTAATATATCCATTTAACTTGTAAGAACCTCAGTTTTAATAGATTTAATGTTTAGCTCTTACTCCAAAAAGAAGACCAAAATAATAAAAACCTCATAGCATTATTCCACTTTTTCAAATTACACATACTTTCTTAATGTACTATATATATAGTCTTTTCCTGCATAACTTAATATAAACACATGCTATCTTTGGAATATATAATGAATCATGGAACTTGTATTCAAAGTTCTTATCTGAAACCACGAAACTTATTTAGTTTAAAGAAGTCATGTAATATGCAGTCAAAGGTTTTTATACATACACACATATGTATATTTTCCTTATGGACAATAATTTTACTTTTTTTATTTGTATGCTGCTCCATTACTTATTTAATTGCACAGGTCTTCTCTTATAGTTGTGCAGAAAACTCTCATGAGTGATTTAAACAGTACATGTATGAAGGATCAAGGCAAAGACAAAATGTTCACTTACATTGTAAATTACATTATATACAAATATAAAAAAAAAAAGTCTTATGATTTGAAATTCTTACACCAGGCTATGAAGTTCAAGTTATATATAATTTCAATTTAATCATAACTTGTAAGCATTTAAGTTATAAATTTTTAATTACACACCATGTGATCTACTGTAGGCCCAAAAGCAAAGTTGTTCACAAACACCAACCTGTGCAAATAAATGTTGTTTATTAGTCTATGAGAACAAAGAACATTAATTGAAATCATTCCTAATTATGATGTACTTTATAGAAAATATAACTACAAACTGAATGAGAATAAAATTAAAATAATTTTGATAAAAAGCACTGTAATGAATGTGGTTTTCTATGCAGTTTTTGTTTAAAACTGTTGAAGTGAATTACTCACTTTAACAAATTTAGAAAATAACTATTTTTGTTTCAGTCATGAATATATATATTA